GACAGCCCTGGAATAAGTCCCCTACAGTATTTAGTAAAAACCACCATCAGCATCAAGGTTATTATGACATGGTTAAGGGGACACAATGTGCTTTGTAATCAGAAAAACTTACATACAAACCTCTGATTACCCTTGTTGCTGTCTCGAGCTCCATTTCCTCCCCTATAAGATGACGAGGATGATGCCTGTCTTTCAAAGAAGAATGGACACGAATTTAACAAGTCTGCCATTAAAGTGAAATTTTGTAATACATTTTGACTCCTCCGTTAGTACCATTTTACAGCCACACAATAAAATAAAATTTAAAAAAAAAAACCCTGTCTTTATTTTGGAAATACTGAAGTTTTAAAGCATATTAGCCAGCTTGAAAATGTTATCTACTAGGCTGGATTCATATAATTATTTGCTATTTCCATTCCTAATTATTTTACAGTCCACCTGTATTTTTTGCATCATAATCGAAAAAGGATTCACAGAAAGAAATGTGATTCCAGTAAATTTCAAATCAATTTAAGGACTTTCCATCATGGCTTTATGTTCCATAATAGTCTTAGATATTTAATTGTAAATGATTTGGTAGGTATGAAGTGATTTTTTAAAAATTATTTAAGAATTATACTTCAGCTATTTCTAAAAATTTAGAGTAGGTTTACCATGGGAACACTGTGTAAGAATCAACATTTGTAAAAGCAGAGAAGTGGCCAACTGAGAAACCTTCTAGCTATGAGAGTCTGTAGGAATAACTGGAGTTCTAAATTTTTTGGCAGGAATTACAAATAGCTAACTTGTATCGAACAGTACCAGACACTGTGCTAAGTGCTTCACCTATATTATTATTTTTTTAAATCCTTACAGCAGTCTATGCGTTAAATGCTATTATCGTCTCAGTTTTGTAGATGAGACAACAGGCACTGAAGGTCGATTTATTTGCCAGAGGTGACAAGGCAAGGCTAGGGTTTGATATAGGTGTTCTGGCCATAGAGACATCCTGCCTCTTTAAGTCAAAATGGACATGTCCTGGACTATAGAGATTTCATTGTAAGGAAATTATACCCAATTATCAATAATTTCTCTCATCTAAATATAAATTATGGACATTCATTCAACTTTTTGGAAAGCTATGACTTCCCTGCCACCACCTTAACTATACCCTGCCCCTTGCCCATTTCTGGAAGAATAAGCAACTAAGTTCACTCTGTTTGGCTTTGAACCTTGTTATTGTTTTAAATTTCATTCTTAAATTATGCTTCACTCTACAGTTTTGTCTTGACATGGGAGGTTTTGTGATTACTTCCAAAATGAATAATGAAAAAATAAATTGGCAACAGCAACCAAAAAAAAAAAAAAAAAAGAGGAAAAGGCATTAGATTAAATCAGCAGTTTTTGCCTCACTAGATGAAATTATTGTGCAGATACATTAATTAAAAACCCTAGCACAAAAATTGAGAATTAAGTTATAGCTTTTAAGTGTAGAGTCTCCTTAGAGATTTGCTAAACATGTTTTAGAAGTATATGCACCGGATGGACGGTTGTATAATTGGAAGTTGTTTATAATATACCATCACCTTGGTTATTCCGTGGGAGTTAAGATTACAGCTCATTAAAAGCATGGACAAGTGGAGTTGGATTCACTCAGGTGTAATAACCTATTGGACAAGGATTGGAATGAATAGTGTTCATGCAATAACTGCCCTCCTTTAGAGGATTTCTACTTCTTGGATTTTTAGAATTCACCTTTTTACCCTTAACATCTCATTGTACTAAGTCCTGTGTAAAATTATTGGTTTTTTTTGTTTTGTTTTGTTTTATTCATCATGTGAATCATTCTTGTGACATCATTAGTTTTAATGTTATTGATTGCAAATGTGATACAGCAGCAGTTTGAAGAGTGTGTGGAATTAGTCCAGTAAGTTTGGCTGTTGAACGGGTTTTCTAAACATTTGGTAATCATGGCTGCATCCTATCTTATATTACTTTTTTTTTTTTTTTTTGCCTTCACACTATCATACCTGTTGCAGTTTTCACAAAATTTAAAATATGAGAGAGGAGAATTTACTGACCTAGCAAGTATTTATTGGATGTTTACTGAGTTCAAGGAACTTTCACTAGCTGTTTGGAACATATGAAACAGAGTGAGGTGTTCCATGCAGGGAGGTCCTGTTGATAGAAAAGCAGGACGAGCACAGGACATGAAGTCGAGTGCGCTGAGGGCTGGTGGTGTGCACAGGAATACCCTCAGAAGTGGAGGCAAGAAGGTGTCCACTTGGAAGGTCTGGAGCACTCGCATCCCATGACAGGAAGACAGTCACCTCACAGGGCATCAAGTGAGTGCAATGTTCCATGGTCCAGTAAATCAGGCAGCTGACTGGCCTTTCCTGAGAGCACGCACTGTCGCCCCCTAGAGGACGTTTGCAGGACAGCAAAGGCTCTGTGTTTAACCTGCCCAGCCTAGCAATTTTTTTCTACAGCAGTTTGCATTAGGTTGAAATGGACATCATCCTCATCTTTTTTTAATGACCCAAAGGGAGGTGTCCTGCAGAAGAGGTGATTCAAGGAGTCTGTACTGAACGGATTTCATGTGGAACCGCTTTAGACTAATTATATATGCATTTTCCAAACTAGAACTAATGAAGTTCTACATAAGAAAAAGTGGCTTCTCTCTCCATAATGTGTAAAGATGAGCTTGCTGGACTTTGGAAAATAGTACCTAATTTGTTTATTTGATATGTATTTGTTGTGTACCTGGCTCATAGAAAGTATTTCCCAGCAAATGTGGTCAAGCACTGACTGAAGGCCCACCACCCAGAAATAGAACAGCGAGAATTCTGGCGAATGATGAGGCAGAAGATTCTCTGTGCCCATGTGGTCTCCTCCCAGATACCTGTCACAGGCTCAGAGACTGGCCGTGTGCCTACTTCATAGTAGACCCCTAGGGGTCAACCAGGACTAAGGGTTCTCCCTAAGTGACCAGGGGAGAGCTACGCTGAGCAAACATGACAGGTTGTAGTTGATAAATGGAGATGAATGTGCTGGCATACTTGATACTTAACCCTTTGCACTCGCTTGCTTTCTTCTCGATTCCTTTATTCTACTTGGGATTTAATTTTTTCAATACCCCAGATTTTACAAAGCGCAGCAGTAGAATAAAAAACTGGAGCTTCTTTTCATGCAAACTTATTTATTTGGATTTTTTTATATTTCGAATTATTGATACATTCAATGAGTAATTGCACTCGACATCCGAGTGCAAAAGGTTAAGAAACAAGGACAAGACGATAGTCAGGAGGAGGCAAGAGGGAAGGAGCTGAGTCTCCTAAGTGGCAGGCTGGGCAGTCTGGGAGGATTCGGACAAAGGCCGTGGTGGGTGCTCCGTGCTGGGGACTCCCTCGCATCAGATGCTGGTTCTCTGGGGTTGGGACAAGTCAACTGTTCAAAGGTGACAAGACTACGCTGGATATTTTCCTACCCTTAGATGTTATTTTTAGGGAGAGATCATATCTTGATGGGGAAATCAAGGAAAGAATTCTGACAGGAAGTGCCATTCCAACTGGACCCTGAACGTCTGGGTCAGGTTCCGAAGGCGGTGGAGGAAGTGGGGATGGAGTGATCGTCGTCCAGGCACAGGTCAGAAAATGATCCACTTGCTGTTGGAAACGGGGGCACGTGATAGGGGAGAAGCCTTGTTGGTGTCTCTAGCATGACAGAGTCCCACCTCCCCACCCGTCTGTCCTACCTCCAGTGCCTCTCATTCAAACCTTCCTCTTCTCCCTGCTCTCCAGCCAACATTGTTCTTACATCAGCACAGTTAAAAACAGGCTATTGTACTTCACGGTGCGACAGAGCATCCCCTTAGCGTGGTTTGTCACCCACATTCCTGGTGGGAAGGAAGAGAGGGGCCAGACACCGGTGTTTGTTATCTTCTTCTTCTGTGCTGCCCAGTTTGGAAGCTTGTATCCACATGTGGCTGTTTAAATTTAAATTAAAATTAATAAAACAAAAGGAATAATTCCTATCCAGGTTTTAAATTCTCAATAGCCATGTGTAGCTAATGGTTGCATATAATATGGGTATATACAGGAGAGTGCAGGTGTAGAACATTGTCATAGTTATGGAACATTCTGATGGGTAGCATTGTTCTACTTAATATCTTAGTATGTTCACATGTGATAAATATCATTTTAAATCAGTTCTGTTCCTGCTGTCTGGCTATTTTATAGTATATTGATACCAAACATGATTTTACCAAGATATGAAATATGTTAAATCTCACTCTACCCGCCCTGAAAACAAATTACCCAAGCAATTAAATTCTCTGTGACAACCAGTGATGGAAACTTCCGAGGTCAATGAGAATTCTCATCAGAATCAGAATGACTTTCCCCAAGTATCTATCCATCTTATTAAAACTGTCTTCAGGCCTTAAGCCCATTATCTAAAATACATAAAAGAAAAATGATAACTGTAAAGATTATGCTGGCTTCTCAAAAAGCCAAAGCAAATAATATATATTCCTTTTAAATGTGGGCTTTCTAGATGTGCTGTGAAAATTGTTAAAGCTTTCAGCAATTTTTTTGGACCAAGAAAAGAAAATAAGGGAAAAGAGGAGACTTGACTGAGGGTTATATTAATGAGACAGAGTGGGAAAGGGAAACGCTAAGGAATGGTGGGAACCCAGTGGACCCTTTGAATGGGCGCAGTGACTCACACTCTCAAAGGGCCCTGAACTCACTGCGCTTTTAACTTCTCTGCAAAACAAACAACAACAGAAAACACTTCTGACTGCTTTACTTGTAAAAGTATTACATTGGTAGACTAACCCTTCAGGCCAGGCATTCTTAAACTATGGCCTGCGAGCCACATGCGGATGTTTTTGCCCATTTATTTTCTTACTTCAAAATAAGATATGTGCAGTGTGCATAGGAATTTGTTCATAGTCTTTTTTTTTTAAACTATAGTCTGGCCCTCCAACCGTCTGAGGGACAGTGAACTGGCCCCCTGTTTAAAAAGTTTGAGGAGCCCTGCTCCAGGCACATGATAAAACAGCTATGGAAGTTTGTTGATGGCCTGGGGTTGAGGGACTAACTTACTGTCAGTGGGCTCTCTGGGAGTGTTTGGTAAAGCTGGGTTTATAAACTTTAGCAGTTTAATTTACTATAGACCAGGCCCTATCAAGTGGGTTGAATCTTTCTTCTAATTAATTTTTCCAAATTTTTTTTTTCTAAAAAGCACAATTTCACAAGATGCAGTATAGAAGAAGGCTTCTGTGGTCAGATAAAGTTTGGGAAGTGGTATATGCTCTTTCCTCCTTTTCCTACTGAGTCACGTAGCTCCGTGAAGTGCCACCGTCAGGGGACTTAAGTATCTTGGCTTCACTTAGCATCACTTAAATGGTTTGACCAGGTTTGGCCTGATACTTGTTAACAGCTCACAAATCACTCCAGTGTTCTGTAAAGTGTACTTAAAGCACACTTGATTAGTCTATAAATAGAACTACTGAAACAATCAAACCACCTAAAAAGCTCTATGGTTTTCTATAGAAAAAAGTCCATATTTTTAGGATATTGAAGGATTTAGGGATGAAGTAACATTATGTCTGTAACTTAAGTACAAATGCTTCAGCTAAAAAAAGTGTATATGTGCAGTATATTTGTATATAGATATAGTCACACACACATTGACACACACAGAGGGCACACCCAAATGCAGCAAAATGTTCACAAGTGATCACTTACACTGATGGGTATGATTTGGGCAATTTTTGAAATATTTCTCTAGGTTTTAAAACTTACTAGCTAAAAGGAGAGAAATTTTATAAACACAAACATAAGCTGCTTTGAGTATTTTGGATGAAGAAGGGGCTGCCATGTACAGGAGCCAATTGGGAGAAAATAAGGATTTTAAGATCCAAAAGGAAGTGAAAGGGGGAGATTCATGTTATTGACTAGGGACAGCTATAAACCTAGAGAAAGGTTTTTCAGGTCATTCTTAGAACTGTGTTGCCATTTCTTTAGGAGTTATGAGTCCATATTCAAGAGTTCCTGCCTTAGCCCCTTTATCCAGGCCAATGGGAACACTGCCCAGAAGACTGTCAGGGTAGTATTTGTTCTCATTCCTGTCCAGCCCTCAGCATGACGCGGAGAAACTTGCCAACTTTTAATTGTGTTATGCAGCCAAATAGGTAGGAAGCCATTCTGAAAAGGGGCTCTCAAGATTTACCTGAAGCTGCTTGACCAAGTGGAGCCAATAGCTTGAAATGTGCTGCAGCCAGGACTGGCCTGACCTTGATCTTCCTTAGAATGGCTATTAATCCCCAACTTGCAGCTGGCTCAGAGAAGCAATGTGTAATAGATTGCATGTCATCTGGTATGCTTCTAGGGCACAGACATTGGCATGCAGCATTTTCTGAATAACTTCTCAAGGACTTCAGTGAAGGTTGTAGCATTCAGAGGTAGGTTTTCTAGTCTTCAAATTCTGCCTTGATATATCATTAGCTGAAACAATATTGCAAACATCCCTATTGCCCTAAGGGAGAGAGAAGAGTCATTTAGTTTCCTGCAGTTTCTGAGATGCTTCTTCTAATATTGTAAAACTGTTGCTAATATGCACTTTCCACAATGCTAGTATCTTTGTAACCCTGACTCCCCTTGGGAAGCTTTCGCTTTTCCTTTTCCTTTTATCCCTCCTTTTTTTATTGTTTAACCTTTACAGTAGGTTATAAAAATTGTGAAATTGAATTTTTTCATATTGCTGATAAAGGTTTTAACAGTAAAGGTTCCTATCTCCTCTAAGCTCTTCGTGGTACACATTAAAATTGTTACAGTTCTTGTGATATTTTGATAGTCTGTCAGTTATTGTTACAAATGTTTATATAATATTAATACATGGTTCTATGTTGCACTTATACTTAAACCTTAAGAATATATTTTGTGTAATTATTATATTTGCTAATAATAATGTGATATGTATGGACTTGAGTACCTTGCACATTTAGGCATTAAAGCTACAAAGAGATGTTAGAAAATAGTTTCACATCAGTACAAACATGCGTTTATATTTTATCTCTCCTTTCACACTGGAAGCTAAATATTAATTACTGGAGAGTAACAATTATGAAATATATTGCAAACAAATGATAAGATTATAAGACTTGACATCTTTATTGTGCTTCACGTTTTACAAAGTATTGTCAGCAAAGGAGGCTAAACAAATGATAATCCAATAAGTTTACAAAGGCTCTTTTTGCAAATTAGTGAAACATATGGAGCCGCATAGAACATTAGAATCTCTCATTTTCTCATTATGTTTGTACTATTTGTTTTTAATAGACCATATCCACTTGGGAGGCTGAAGGTTTTCATTCATAATGATAAAAAATACTTAACATTTTCTAGATGCCTCTGATGATAACAGTAAAATTTTAAGCAAACTTTTATGCCATTACCTGTTATGTAACCCCTAGCCAGCAGCAGCAAACTGAGGATTAAAAGAACTATTTAGTAATTTTAGAAACTTAGACATTTAGAAAGGTGAGTCTATTACTGGTAAGTGTTTCTGAATAAAGTTACTTCTTTGCAGACATGGAATTGTGAGATCACTAAAAAAAATTCCCCTAATTTACAGAGTAACAGTAGCCCTGTTGACAACATCTGAGAGAAATGATCCAAGATGTTGAATTATTGAATTGATTTTTTTGTTCACCTTTTAATCTTGAAAATGTATTATTTGAATGATGTTTGTCTAGAGAGGATATTACTGAAATGCGGAGCATCCATTTCTGCACATGGCTGCTGCTCTGATAGGCCCCTCAGGGGTAGGGTCTTGTCTTGTTTTGTATGTGACTGTGTGTTACAAAATCCTCCCAGGAAGCTCAGCAAGCTGTGGTCATATCATTCATTTCATGAGAAGTGGGCTGGTTTGTCTCTGTAGATAAGATTTTAAGAGGAAAATTTTAGAGTCTTCAAAACTGTGTACAGAAGCATGAAATAGAATTCAGGAGCAGTGGTCTCTAAATTTCCAATAGCCTGTAAATTTCTTGTCCTCTTTTAAAACTTCAGCAGCAAAGGGTGCATTTAATTTCACTGTGTTGCAAATACACTTGGCCAGCTCTCCTGGCAGCAGGCTGCTTACTTTGCTGAGTAAGTCACAGGGCTGTTGGCAGGAAAAAGAAAAAAATTTCACTCTTTTGAACATAAAGCTAGATTTTCTAAAGTAAATCGTTATATTCTCATTAGAATATTTATTCCACTAATGTTTCAAAATGTTCCTGAGGAGTTAGTTTTAAAATTTGACTCTAACAAGTTTGTAAAGAGAGTTTCTTATCTCAATTTGGATTCAGTATTGATTACCTACTTCCTCTGCTTTTTTTTTTCCCCAGCAGGTAGACCAGTCTACAACAGCTTTTATGTTTACTGCAAAAGCCCCTGTCAAAGAGTACAGCCAGGAAAACTCAGGGTACAGTGCAGCATCTGCAAACAAGCAACACTTACCTTGGCCCAGGTAAGGAAATGTCGTGTCAGCAGGAGACTGCCAAGAAAAATGAATGTGTGTTAACAGAGTTGCCTTCTGGTATTTCTAATCATATATCACCCACCACTGAAAGTAAGAGACATTGTTCTATGTGGTTGTGATGGTTAATGATACCTGAAGTTTCATTTAAAAATACACTCTTGTCTTTTGGGTTTCTTTCTACTCTGTAAAAATTTAGGTAGTATGGGGGTTATTCTGCCATTTCTTTAACCCAGGCCTATTGAAAGGAAGTATAGACGCTGCTTTGATAACAAAAAGAAGTCAGGCTTTGGTGGTGGGGGGGGTATTTTAGAAGGGACATGAAGGAGCCTTCTATGACACTGGAAACATTTTATATCTTGATCTGTGTGATGGTAACATGGTTATATGCATACATCAACATTCACTGGATTGTTCATTAAAGATTGGTGAACTTAAGGTTGTTAAATCTAAGTTATCCCTCAATTAATTTTGTTTATTTATTATTTAAAATTATTGTGGGTACATAACAGTTGTATATTTTTATAGGGTACATGTGATATTTTGATACAGGAACACAATGCGACTTCATTCTGGGTAATTGGGGTATCTATCACCTCAGGTATTTAAAGTGGGGATAGTTAATGAATGCAAAAAATATAGTTAAACAGATAGAATGAATGATATTTGATAGCACAACCAGTAAAACTACAATCAATACTTTAGAATAGTCCTCAATTTAAAAAAGTAGAAAGGAGACTTGTGGGTCAGCCGACAGTCTGCCTGGAAAGCAAGGGTCGGCCAGCGCAGGCCTGCTGTGGCTGCTGCTTGTTTTTATGCAGCCCGCAAGCTAAGAGTGGTTTTTACATTTTTAAATGATTGAGAAAAATGAAAAGATGAATAATGTTGCATAACCCATGAACATCACGTGAAATTTAGACTTCAGTGTCTATAAATAAAGTTTTATAGGAACCCAGCCCCACCCATTGCTGTACCTGTTGTGTTGTCTGTGGCTGCTTTCACGCCGCTGTAAAAGCAGAGTCGAGTGGCTGCGACACAGACTGATGGTCCTCAAAGCCTGAAACATTTTCTCTCTATTTCTGTAGAGGAAAGGTCTGCCGACCCCTGATACAGAACATAGAAACAATTGGTGCAAGGCTCCCGTGTGGTGGCTGCATAGGATTTGGCTTGATGTGGTGTGGAGGTGGCAGTGGGCCGGGCGTGGAGAGCGTGCGGTTAGTGCAGAGGTGAGGGCACAGGCAAGGAGGCACAAAGGACAAGTGCTGGGGGCGGGTCAGGTGCTCAAGTGTGCATAAACACCTGTGATGGCTGCACCATTCAGATTCTACTCTGCAGGCAGTGGAGGACCAAGGCAAAAATCGTACAATGCCATTTTAGAACTGGTAGTCCCATAGGAGGACACCAACCAAATGATGTTGATTGAATGGCATCTGCATTTGAATTGTCATATGTTGACTCCATACATCCACACCCTTTAGAAATTCTATTTGGCATTTTATAGTCATATTAATCATAGCAATTAGGATGGTTTTGTTACACCTTGTTGATTTTCTTCCTTACGTTTATCTTCTTATATTTGTATTTTTATCCAATTCTCATGATAGACCTGCAAAGTAGATATTATTATTCAGTGTTTTGAACAAAGAGACACCAAGAAGTTAAGTAATGAGCCCAAAGTTATTCAGTTAACAAATATTGAAGCCAAGAGTAAAAAAATCTTCAAGCCCTAGACATTTCTAAAATACAGTGCTTACTATATGAATCTGCAAATGACACCCTATTGTCTAACTACTTCCCTTGTACTTAAAAGATCACTCAAAAATACTCTTGGAAAAAATATACTTGAGGTATTAGAGACAATGGAATCGAAGATAATTTAAAGATAAGTTATTTAATCCATATTTTAGTACAGTTATTAGATGTCGCATAATTAGTACATAGCAGATGAGAAGACCAGCATTTCAATTTTTTTATTAACAACAAAAATACACATTTAACAGAACCTACAAATAATATCTCTGGAGTAGCTGACTAGGCACATTGCTGAAGCCCGCGAGCCTAGCCTTGGCAGTGATGAAGCAGGTGCTAAACTTTGCCAAAAGGAATAATTTCTATGTAGAGAATAGGTAACTCTTGAGTTTCATTTTCTAGAAATTAATAAACATCAATAACTTACATTATTTTCTCTGATTAGCAATAAAAGACAACATAGGATCATATGTGACTGACCAGTTATGTCAGAACAGCGTGTGGTTTGTCTGAACTTTTGCAAGGAGGTCTTTATACATAAAGCAAAATATTGGAACCTGATTAGCCATCTGAGTTATTTTGAAAACATAATTGTATTTTTTTATTTTTGGTCTGGAGAAATCAGTCTGCAACCAGCTCCATGTGTATCATGAGTCTTTAATGATAACCTCCTAAATTATATTTTTTGGGGAGGCAGTTATTTGTAATTCCAACATTTCCTCAACACTATTTAAAGTTTGCATGTAATAATAATGAGCTGCCTCTCATATGTGATACTCTGGTTTAATTATGTTTCACATTTAATATGACACTCATAAGAAACTGGCTAGAAAGATGGACACCCATTTTGTCCTGATGTTAAGCATAGGGAAACTGAGGTCTCAAGTTTTGACTTGACCTTGAGAATAAATTGAGAATCAACTCGGACACCACATTTTCTTCCATTTCCAAATCAAAATATCCTCTTTTTTTCATGGTGACCTTGACCAGGGTTTTGGCTAGACCAAAACACCATTTAGAAGTATGAATACTCACTGGAAAATAGTGAACAATAGCTCACTGGGAAAACAGGGCAAGCATTGGGTTTTCAGCTACCTGTTCAAAGATCGTCTGCTGCGGTCCATGCAGCAATGAGACAGGGTTGGACAGAGAACGGAGGTTGCTTTTGTAGGTGCTTATATGTTTCTGATTGTGTTCCTGAACAATGAAACCTGTCATTTAAAATAACCCCTGTCACTGTTTCCCTCAAATATTTCCATAGCACTGATGTATATAAACTCACTAGCAGGGACTGTATGACTCGTTAACCATTTTGACTGGGCTAATGAGTTTTGTTAAACTAGATGCTGGTGACAAGGAATCCGTCCCTGGGACTCCTACTAGCAAAGCCCTCTAGGACTTCTTAGTTCAGATTAAGGTTACGAATTGTTAATCCCTCCAGCATAAACCAGGGTTATCCGCTATTTACATATTTTTGTTTGTACTCAGCTTATTAGTCTGAGAATGAATCAGAAGCCAGGAGATTACTGGAGGCAAGAAGTTTGGATGATTTTCCCCCCTACAATCACTGTAATTACTTTATCTCAGAAAGAACTTTATCTTTGCCACTCTAATGAGATACTCTGCCATGGAATAGCATTAAAGCTAAAAGGTTTCTGATGAGGAATGGTGCAATAAATAGAATAAGATGTAAAGTGCCTGGCATGATGGATTTTGTTTAAAATTGGTTTATAGATTAGGGACAATTTATGTGAGGAAATTTATTATGAAATATAGGCTAAATGTATAATCATTCCTAAACTTAATATTTGTTACAGATTAATTGTTGGTCAAGATTCTACTTATTATCAAACATACTCTCACATCTACGTAATAAATTAAAGCCTTAGAGTATATCCAAGCTTATTTTCCAGTTTTAACATGGGATGTTTTTGTCCGAGTATGCATTATCCTGTGCTTTTGCTTGTTGTAGATTTGATTGTCAGGCATTTCAGAGATTTAAGAGTAAAACGGGAGAGTCATTGCAAGTTATTTTCATGTCATTTAAATTGTTTCGGAAGACGCGTTTTGGACATCCCGGTGGTGAGGGTGTGAGCAGCACCTGCATTCTGTTTTGCTTTGTGTTGTAACGTTAGGACTACAAAGAAGCCAGTTTGCGCGTGGATTCATTTCAGGTCAGAGCTACAGGGTGGACAGGGAGCAGGGCCGGGGCAGGTCTGGCACGTGCCGTGGCTGGGCCGGCCCCGCCTTCGCCTCCACCCCTCGTCCTGCTGTGTGTTCTGCCAGATTTCTCTTCACTTTGAGAACTGTTCTCCTTTCCGTCTCCTGTGTGGGGCCCTCCTTCTTTGTTTGTGCTCTTTTGGTCCTTTCTGCGGGCTCCAGCCCTCAGCCACACACAAATGATGCGCACGCTCAGCTTGAATAGCCAGTCAGAGGAAACCAATGGAAGGTTAAAATGCTTCTCTCTTTTTCTTTTTTTTCCAAAACCCATACCTGGAAAAGAGCCATTCTAAGGTAAAAACAAACAAACAAACCAAAAAACAAAAAACAGCCCTCAAAGTATTACCATAAAGAATTTTAAGTTGTGATGACTTATATTAATGCACATTATTTTATATTAATGCACATTATTCTTGATAGTTTACCTATATATTGCACATTGCATAAAAATTCTAAATGTAAAGGGGCCACTTGAATCAAGTTGATCCAAACCATTTCAGGGTATCAGTGTCAGCCATTATAAGCAGTTTAAAATTGTGAGAATTTAAGTGAATGTTACTAGTATCGTTTTTCTAAAAGTCACAATGGTTTTGGATAATCCATGCCTATGGTTGAAATCTGTAAATATTCTTCACCACCAACATCTACCTCCATGGCTACGGGTGGATTTTCCAATTCATTACCTAGATGATGTTGCCAAATTTACTAATTTACCAGGAAATATAAGGAATGTTATCATTCTGGAACATTCTATTGTGATGGTATTCTGTGTTTGATTAACTTCAAAATATTCAATAACGTATTTTCTTAGCAGATTTTAAGACATAATTCAGTTTTTTTGAAAGCTAAGGATTACAGGAGAATTCATCTTCTTAAGAAAGTTACTTCTTGAGTATATTTGTCCATGTATTCTCATGAATATATTCTAAACCTCACCATTTCATGCAGGAACTTCTGGTTTATACTAATTCTTTCTAATCCTTATTTTAGTTGTTTTCTGTTTTTCTAGATTTTTAAAAAAA